ATCTTTATAATATTCAGCATGACTAATTTTGAAGTGAGCATAAAATACTTCTGCCACATACAAAGGTTTGATAGTTCTCTTGATATGAAGGACTTGTGTGATTGAGGTGCAAGCAGTACAAGCTGATAATGGAACATTTTCACTTAAAAGAATGTTTTGCAGACAAGCTCTGGTTATAAAGATAATTTTTCATGAATGAATGAATGAAGTGAGACTGTTACTCCAAGAAAAACAATTAGTAGTATTTGTTTGCAATGATAAAATTCAAGCTCTCAAAAGAAGATTAGAAATTTGGGAAACCTGTGTCTGCAACCACAAGCTTGGGAGTTTTTTTTTAAGTGAGACGGAGTTTCGCTCTTGTTACCCAGGCTGGAGTGCAATGGCGCGATCTCGGCTCACCACAACCTCCGCCTCCTGGGTTCAGGCCATTCTCCTGTCTCAGCCTCCTGAGTAGATGGAATTACAGGTGTACACCACCATGCCCAGTTAATTTTTTTTTTTTTTTTGTATCTTTAGTAGAGATGAGCGTTCACCATGTTGGCCAGGCTGGTCTCAAACTCCTGACTTCATGATCCACCTGGCTTGGCCTCCTAAAGTCCTGGGATTATAGGCATGAGCCACTGCGCCTGGCCAAAACTTTTAAAATAATATCTGTAGTGATATTAATGAGTATGATTTTGATACTATGTATGAACACATCAGCATAACTCAATGGGCAAATATTTTCCAATGACCAATATATGAAGTCACAAAATAATGCATGGATAAAGATTAATTCAAAGTGCCTGAGATCTTAATGTATGTTAAAGTAAAAGAATATAAAAGTACATTGTTATGATTTTAGATTTCACACTTCAAATAGCCTTTCAAAACCAATCATTTGTCAAGTTTTGGTGTAGTACCAAAAATTATCTAAAAGTACATAAAAATACCTAGTATAATACTTTTCCTTTTTCCACCTACATATCTGTGTAAGGCTGAAAGTTCTTCATACACTTTACTAAAATAACATATTGTAAAAGACTGATGCAAAAACAGACATGAGAATTCAGCGCCTTTCTGTGAAGTCAGATATCAAAGACATTTGCAAAAGTGTAAAACAATCAATGCCACTTTTTTTTTGTTTTGAAATATATAGTTATTTTTAAAAAGTATAATTTAGTTTTAATCATTTTAAATACATGAGTACATTTTTTTTCTATTTCTCATTTTAAATTTTGATTACAGTAAACATAGATCAATAAAAGAAAGTTCGTTGAGGTCCTCAATAATTTTTAAGAGTGTATAGGATCCTGTAACCAGAAAGTGAGAATCACTATTTTATGAGCAGTTTCTTAAAAGGCTTTTTAGATGAAATTTTCCTAATTTCTTTTCTATTTCAACTGGAATAATTGAATGAGCTTCCCCAAATCTCATACTCTGGCATTAAGACAAGCAATTAATATTCATGAGCAGCTACTTTGTAACATGAACACAGCACTGCAATATGAACAGGAGGAAGATGATTAACCAATTGCCTTAAACTCCAACACCTGCAGATCTTGGGCCTGTGACATAAATGGGTAATCTCCATCTAAGAACTAAGCCCTTTCCACTTTCTTGAAACCTACCACATTATTTTTTATGATATCATTTTTGATAGAGACTTGAATTACAAGTACATTTTCATCTTGAAGCAACCTTAAGAAAACGATAGAGCAAGTTTATTATAAATGTTCACCCACAGTACTGCCTTTTGGCTTTTACCCTGAGCACAGAAGAACAGTTTCTGGCCCTCCTCCAGCTACGCCTCTCCCCACATGAAGAATCTGCAGAGTCCAGGGGACGCGCCATCGGGAGCCTGCTCCTAAATCCCATTTCACAAGTTCTGGACCCCAAAGTTCTCCGTCAAATGGATTCGAATTGCTTCAAGGACTTGTGTGAGCCTCCTTTTAGATTTATCCTACTGAGGGTGGGGACTGCACCCCCATGCCATGTGATGACCCCTAGATCTGAGGAGTAGGCATGGGGTCTTTGATGGCAGTGGACAGAACTTGTACAAGTAGACTGGGGTTTCTGGGACAGAGTAGGGATGAACAAGCAGGAATGCAAACCACAGTGTGAAGATGGGCTCTTCCTAGGGTACCACATGTCATCCTAGAACTTTGAGAATCACAAATTTGGACTTTGCCTTCGAGGTAGTTAGGAAGGCATATTTGTTAAGGTAGAAGGATAAAATATATTTTATGTAACAGTTTGTTGACTTGGTTTATAACTTAATTATTGAAACATACGGAATGTCGCTATGTATTTGAATTCCCTCTCCAAATCAAAAATATTAACGGATGAGCTTGGCTTTTGATGTTTCATTTAGAAATAGGAAGGGCTGACCAGGCACAGCACTTTGGGAGGCTGAGGCAGGTGGATCACCTGAGGTCAGGAGTTCAAGACCAGCCTGTACAACATGGCAAAACTCTGCCTCTATTAAAAATACAAAAAATTACCTGGTGTGGTGGCGGGTGCCTGTAATCCCAGCTACTTGGGAGGCTGAGACAGGAGAATTGCTTGAACCCAGGAGGCAGAGGTTGCAGTGAGCCGAGGTCATGCCATTGCATTCCAGACTGAGTGACAGAGTGAGACGCTGTCTCAATAAAAGCAAGCAAGCAAGCAAGCAAGCAAGCAAGCAAGCAAGCAAGCAAGCAAGAAAGAAAGAAGGAAGGAAGGAAGGAAGGAAGGAAGGAAGGAAGGAAGGAAGGAAGGAAGGAGGGAAGAAATAGAAGGGCTGGGGGATAGAGAAGGAAGATGACCATTATACAGGTATATTCTGTCTAAAGACTACATTTTCAGATTCAGCTGAAGTATGCCAGACATTCTGATTTGTAAAGGAATATTTGGAATCTAAATTTTAATGCAGAAATTTCGAATTTTAAAATCTTGACAACTAATTTTAAAAATTAGCAACTTGTAGCAAACACTGACAAGCCCAAATAATGTATTCTGTAGCCAAGAGCTGGCCAGAGGCCCACTAGCTCATAATGGTTTGGGCTTGAACAAAATTTGTAACACCATGGAGTTTCCAATGCTCTTCTTTCAGCATCCTTGCCAGCATCGTGAGTAATAAAAATGGCTGCCTATCGTTACATGCCAGGTATTATATTAAGATTGTTGAACATGCTATTTCAACAGCATTCATACTTCCCAATGTTTTTTGTTTGTTTTCATCCATGAGAAAGCTTAGGATCTAAACCACCCATTTCGCTTGTCCAGTCTCTTTTATAATAATTTGTAACAAGAAATCTGCTTATGCTTTTGCTCAGCAAGTACAGTAAGGATAAAGTATATGGTTATGGATTAGAACAGTTACCTGGTCTGTGTAGAGATTAAACTTTGGTGTAAATTGTTGTAATTGAGTGAGTTAATCTGTTCCCCATATTGATTCCAAGTCTGAAATTCAATAATAGGTTCTGGGAAAGTGAAACTTGAACCTTCTAAGCAATATGGACATTGGACATGAAACTCTTCTGCTTCTATGCCAATAAAGTGTCATCTCTCAATTACAACTTCTTTTTTAGCTTTTCTATAACTCCTTCAAATGGTCTTCTAGATGGGCTATAAAGTAGTTAATCAGAGTAAATTCAAGTTTGTACTTAGTATTAAAATGTAACTTAATTGTATGTTTTCCCCCAAATCTAACCATTTGAAACATCTGGTAGGTAAATTTTAGTGCTTCATTCACTCTAATGGTGATAAGTTTAGCAAGTTGTTAAAACTACTTCTCACTTCCCCATCACAGTAGTCCAAAGGATGCAGCTAATGTTTTAGCACCTAAGCATCTCTTACAAACTCATCAGAGAAAGAACCGGTCCTCTTTGGTTCATCATGAAGCAAAATAGAGCAGAACGTTATCATCTGTCCACTGCCCACAAGACAATGAAACCACTGGCCTTACTGTGAAAAAAGTTTTAAGTTTTCAAGAATCAAGGGCATTAAATACAGAAAATTAATTTTTTTGCTGTGAAGTTTTATACTTTTGCATATCAATTTTCCGCAGCTGTGATAGTTTCTTTTACAACATCTGCTGGAGAGGAGGGGTGCAGAACGATTATATTTAAGTATAGCAATACTTTTTTGATGATTATGGCCAACAGAATTATGAGAATTTTGTGACATGTAAATGATATAAATTATATAAAAACTAAAAATGCTCTTTACTATTAATTGAGAAATAAGTCATGAAAGATTTTTCAGTAGTTCTGAATAATGTGCATCATAAATGACAGATAATAATTCATGCAAAGAGGATCACATATTGAATTCTGAATGTTCCTATTTCATTTTTACATTACCAAGCTGTTTCTACTCAGTTCCTTTCTCTTAGTACTTCGCTATCTCTATTTAGCATTACGTAGCTAACTTGACTAATTTTTCACCCCAGAATTATTCAGTATTCTACTCAATTATCTTCCTGGTTTGTTCTCTTAGACATGGGAGACTTAACTGTTGATGCCTGTAATCCTGAGGGCAGGGAAACAGAATCTGGATAGGTCCAGAGAGGTCTACATTCAAACCACTAAATGTTCCATTTTCATAAATTCTTTTCCTTGGACCTTATTGAATTTGCCATTCGTTAAAGGTTCATGTAGATATGGCTTAGTCAACTACATAAAAATCAACATTTTTAAAAAGTGGACAAATACACAGAATTGGCAATTCAGTAGTCAACAAAACCCCCATCTCTTTTGACCACACCAATACATTAATAGGACTGAATCAGGACCGGGCGTGGTGGCTCACGCCTATAATCCCAGCACTTTGGGAGGCCGAGGCAGGTGGATCACGAGGTCAAGAGATCAAGCCCATCCTGACGAACATGGTGAAACACCGTCTCTACTAAAAAATACAAAAATTAGCTGGGCATGGTGGCACGCGCCTGTAGTCACAGCTGCTCGGGAGGCTGAGGCAGGAGAATTGCTTGAACCCAGGAGGCGGAGGTTGTGGTGAGCCGAGATCCCACCATTGCACTCCAGTCTGGGTAACAAGAGCGAAACTCCATCTCAAAAAAAAAAAAAAAAAGGACTGAATCAAACATTTTCCCTTTTACTCTTTTTCACAGGGCTTGATGCTACCTGTCTGGTTTCTAGCTCTGACTGATGTAGAAGGTAATGCAAACACCATAAAGAAACCATGGAGAAGTTCATGAAAGGCAGAAAATGGAATCTAAAAATAAAGCATCTAAATATACTTCTAACTATTCTCCAGTAACTCAATTTACTCAGAGCCAAGAATATAATACTTTCACAATGTCAAAAGTTCTACCCCCAACCACATACACAAATCTATTTGCTTCGAAAGCTTTTATTTTTTCATTTGTTTTTTGTTTGGAGGCACACGGACTTTCACTCATAAGGTTGTGAGTGCTCAGCTCCTGGGAGACTCATGACGACCACAGTATGCCTTCTGGCATCTTCCAAGTTGAGAGGACAAACCAGGAGAGACACATGCTAAACAGTAGAACATTAGCAAGTAACTAGATGGGTATATACATATAAACCAAGCTAAGTGTTTGATGTCTCAGGGCCTTGCACTTTCTAAGATTCTACCCTTACCTATTCAGAATGTATCATCCCTCTGGGGTTTTTTAAACTTTTTATAGCAACTGTATATCTAAATCTAAATATATAAATCTCCTTAAATGACAATTTTCACTGGGATTTCTTTTCATAAATACAGGCTCTTATTTCACTTTCATGCAAATAATATGCAGCTCTACTTCTCCCTGCCAGCTGCTATTGTTACATGCATCACCAAATGGTGATCCAGCTTTGAATAGTCTACAGAAGGTTTAAATAGGATCGAAACATTCTGGAGAAATCTATAGAAAATATTAGGTTTAGTTTTCTTCATTAGTATTGTTACGAGCCCTCATTAATGTCTGCATAATTTCACTAAGCCTTTAAATCATTCATAAATAACCCAAAAAGGCTTACATGGTTACAGAGGTCAGAGAAAACAGAAGGAGAAACATGTGTTGCATGCATGTATTGTTACCTGATTTAGGGTTTGCTTATTTATCATCTGAGTGAGGCACTGGAAGGCTGTTTGAAGAAAATAGCTTGCAAAATAGAATCATGTCTTTGCCAAAAACTTAAGTGTCAAAGAAAAGCCCTGGTCAATGTAACTCGTATCCTCATAGAGAAAGAATTAGGCCATCTTTCCCAATGTAAGGCTTTTTGATGTGTGACTTAAAACATTACTTAATTTTTCCATCTCAGTATTTTATTTAAAACTGATTATATTTTTATCAAATTAGGTATCAAAAAGATAGTAACATTAAGTATATATAGTGGACATTCTTTTCTTTTTTCTTTTTTTTTTTTTTTTTTGAGACAGAATCTTGCTCTGTCGCCAGGTTGGAGTGCAGTGGTGCGATCTTGGCTCACTGAAACTTCCACCTCCTAGGTTCAAGCAATTCTCCTGTCTCGGCCTCCCAAGTAGCTTAGACTACAGGTGTGCACCACCATGCCCAGCTAATTTTTTTGTATTTTTAGTAGAGATGGGGTTTCACCATGTTGGCCAGGATGGTCTTGATCTCCTGACCTCCTGATCCACCCACCTCGAACTCCCAAAGTGCTGGGATTACAGATATAAGCCACCCCACCAGATCTTGGACATTCTTATTTATGTCTCAGCAAGCATTCCACCCTAGGTGATCAGCCTACAGAAAAAAAACCTCCCAAGTAGTTAATACACATTAGCATCTCAAAGTGTAATCTGCAGACCTGCAGCTTTGCCCTCATCTGGAAGCTGTTAGAATTGCAGGCTATCTCGTTTCCCCAGACCTACTTAATCACAGTGTGCCCTGAAGCAACATCTGTCAGATGATTTATGTACATGCTAAAGTCTAAGAAGTCCTGCCCTCTCACACCAGTGTATAGCAAATGCATTCCAGGTGTGACTGAGACATTGCTGTCACCACCCAATAGTGCCTAGGGTCTCAGATTGTTCACTGCTGCCTTAAGCAGTTCTGAACAGTTATCCCAGTTTGCCAAATTTTATAGATTTCTATATGTACCAAGAAGTTTAAGACATAAATGGTTGGAAACCACTTGTTTGAACAAATCAAGCTCTTTCCAGGACTTCTTCCAATAAGTAGTTCACGAGTGGACATGACATGAAGCGTCAGTCAGTGCAGCGTGACGGAAAGGCTTCTGGGGGAGCTGGGGTGGCATGGGGAGAATTTTTTTGTATCTGAGATTCCCAGAACAGCAACAGTCTCTTATTATTTTGGTCATTGCTGCTTCAGGAGGCTACTCTGAAAACTGCTGGGCCAGCTTGCTAACAACCAGAGGACAAAGCCAACACTAAAGATCACAAAGCAAAGAGACACGAAAGAAAGTTCTCTCTTTATGACATTGCTGAGCCACAGAGCCAACCCTCCCTGGAGCCTCCATAACCTCTGGACTTCTTGCTATATGAGGTAATGCATTTCCTTACTGTTGAAGCCCATTTGGCTTGAGGTTTCTTTTACTTACAAATCATCCTAATGAAGAGGAGAAAGGGCAATTTTACTGACTGAGTGCAAACTGGTTTCATGCATATTTGAAAAAGGTAGTGCAGCATGGATGCCATAAGCATCTAGAGTAGACATGTCCAATCTTTTGGCCTCCCTGAACCACACTAGAAGAAGAAATGTCTTGGGTCACACATAAAACACAGTAACACTAATGATAGCTGATGAGCTAAAAAAAAAAAAAAAAAAAAAAAAAAAAGTCACAAAAAAACTGTCTCATAATGTTTTAAGAAAGTTTACAAATTTGAAAATGTGTTGGGCCACATTCAAAGCTATCCTGAGCCACACGAGGGGCACGGATTGGACAAGCTTGATTCAGAACATTATTATCAGTACTTCACACTTTAAAACCTCCCACTCAAAACTCCTGGAAAACCAGTTCTCAATGGAAACTCCCTGAGCAGTAGAGTTCAATAAGTTGGGCTGAGTAAATGAAAGAATCAATAAATAATAGAACAAGCACACTGAGTTAAAGTTGCCTTCCAAAATATTTACAATTACCTTGAATTCCATTTTATTGTTACCACTTCTTTTTGAAAGCTACTGAGACTCATTAATAAATTACTGTTCGCTATAAAATTCTCATCCATACTATAAACATATCATTTTACCCACCTGCATAACATTTACAATGTTTCTAACTATATAGCATGAGGATACACATGCAATATTTATCGAAGAATACAAAGGAACATATATTGACTGTGACATCATGCCATTCCAAACCATGGGGCCATGAAATACCTTATATTTCATTTTTCCACATATTTAGGGGTATATACACAGCCATCAGGTAAGCTCCTTCCCTGCCTAAGGCAAAGAAAGTTGTTGGAAGCTACAGGTCAATTAAACCATCTTCCAAAAGAGACTACTTGCTCATGGTAAATGGCACTTGGCATTAGTGGTTCAGAGAGTCATGGTCAGAAGGGACTATTACAGGATGAAGCCAGAGTGCCACTGTCTTGATTGCCTCTAAGAACAATGAACATATAGCGCACACCCAAGTGACTGACGTGTCTTATTGCACTTGCATTCATTTAGGTGGAAGACGAATTCAAAGCAAGAAGAAACAATGATGGACCAAGCGTCAGGACCACCGTTCTAGTCAGTATTTAGGTGCCATATCACCTTTCTGAGCACCAGTTATCTCATTTACAGGATGAAGAGGTTGCCTTAGACAGCAATTCTCGTCCTGTCTGCCCATTAGAATCACCTGGAGATTTATAAAAATATGGACGGCTGGATCATATCACTAGATACTGATTTAATTGGTCTAGGAAGAGGAGCAGGGGTCGTACATCTTCTCAGGTAAATCTAATGTGCAGCCATGTTTGACAATTAGTAGATTAGATATTTTTAGATTTATTCCCAACTTGAATTGTCTATTATTCTAGTATCCAATTGTCCTGGAATGTCTTAGTTCTGTTTGGCCAGGTACTCCTTTTTTTCATGCATGGGGAATGCCATCAAAGGGGCTTACATCCCATTCCCACCCTACTCTGCCTCCTGCTTACTCCTAGTTTCAGACAAACAAAACTATACTTGGTAGCAGTGGTAGAAAAAAAGATTAATATACAGCAGAGCACATAAAGGAGAAAAAAAAAGATCCATGTAGGGTTGTTCTGAAGTCTTTGTATGTCCTTATTTCTCTCTCATAAATTGGGACATGCTATGGGCTCCACACCCAGATTCACTTTTGGAAATAACCTTGATCCAGCATTCACAAAGGATGAGGAATCAGTTTCAGTTTCAGACCATATTAGACTACACAGCAAAATGATTATATACCTATTTTACTCCAAACACAAACAACTCAAACTACATATCTAATCAACCAGTGGGCTCTTATAAAGTATCTGTTTATTGGAAATAAAATGTACTTCTGGGTTTGACATGAATAGCATAGACCACATACTATCCTCAGTTAAAAAGCCAGTTAAGGCAATTGAGCAGCTCTTCAATATGGGGATAATACTAGTAGCAACGTTTCCCTGTACTCTGGACAAATTCCAACTACTGGCATCTGTATTTCTATGCCTAAGGGTTTCTCCCAGAACAGAAGACTGCTTATGCTTAATAAAAAGTGCCAAGACTTAACATTCCCTCCACCAGGGACTCTCAGAAATTTCCTTATGAATATTCCAGCTCTCTGGCCCTTCAGGTGAGATAAATCTGAGGCATGTGTTCTGCACAGCCTCCCAGAGTTACCTACAAGCTTAAGTTTCAGTGGCCACTACGGTACCTGGCTTAATCATGGATTTCTCTTGGCTGCTTCTCTTCTTTGTAACACTTCTTACTCACTTTCCTAATGGTGCTACCTGCACTTAAAGATAAAATTCTTGCTCTTGAATCCTGCTCTCTCTCTGGAGAACTCAACCTAATACTGTGAGCAGTTTTTAAGGCACTCGTGGGAACTGAGCAGTATGTTTTGGGGTGTCAGAGAGGGACAGTCAAACATTAAAAACAAGAAGTAAATAAGGCAATCATATTGTAGTGTGATATGAGAAATCAAAATACATGCCCCTCTTATCAATTATGATAGACCGAGAGGTTAAAAAAACAGTTACCTACAAGTTAGGGATTCAGGGTCTGCCTGGCATGACGAATATCTATATTCCTATGCGCTAAACCTCCCAAGCATAGGAGCCATCAACTCTGATTTACATACCAGACTTACAACTCTGACTGGACAGAGGATCAGCCTTATAAACATTCTTTTCTGATAAGCTATTGCAGACTATAAGCCAGTTTTAGTCAGCTTATAGGGGCTGTGCACAAGTTGTCTTTGTGCCTTACAGATTACTTTTTAATATAAAGTGGCAAATTCCACCTCATTTTAATGCTAAAAGTGAAGATGAGATATGCATTACATGTATGTCTATCCATTGTTCATGCACTCAGCTCACCTCATGAAAAGGTTTAGCTTTTCCCCCAAATCTGTCAAACATGGATGATACTGGCTCTGTGAGGCATAAAACCCAATGTGTCCTTCTTCTCTTCAAAGAGAGAACATCTTTTGTCCACACTGGAGACTTTTACTTCCAGGCTTAATAACCAATATTGCCAATAACGCTCTCCTAGCTATTATTTAGCCATCCTGATGGTCTTTTGGATGATCTACTATCATCCAAATTTGTAGATTAATCCTTTCTACAAAAGGAAAAGTGACAGAAGGGTAAATGGGGGTAGTGATGGGGTGTAGGGGCAGGATGCTATATTAAATAGGTTGTCAAGTAGGACAGAATAAAAAGTTGAGTTTGCTCCAGACTCCCAGAAGAAATGAAGAAAAAAAAAAGCAGTTGAATTTGAACAAGACTTTAAAATGTGGCATAAAAATACATGGATGGAAGTGTGAAATGTCCCTTTAAATAAGCAAAATATAAAATTTTGGACCACCTATTAGTTCAATACAGTTGTTTCCTCTTACACTGAAAACAGAGAAAAAGAACCACAATTTCTGTCTGTGTGTTGCAGTTGCCCCCTGGCTTATGCTACATGGTCCTTGCTGTCTCTCAATTTGTGGGCTGTCTTTATGTACAAGACAATTGAACATGATTTTAAATACAGTGTAGAAGGAATTTAATGAGCAGTTCCCAGAAAAGGGCATTACAACAAGTATACTTGTTCAAATACTGTACTGTGCCCCTTCCCCATGGGGATACATTCCACGAGCCACAGTGGATGCCTGAAACTGTGGATAGTACCAAACCCTGTATGACTACGCATGGACTTGTTTTCCTTCTTCACAATTTGACAGATGATTTACTCTTACCATAATCTCAGCAACCTCAGCATACAAGCTTTTTCTTTCCTTATTAAGTTTAGAATTTTTACCTATGCACTTAAAGGAAGCACTTTATGGCTTCTCTGTGGCATATATGGATTGTGAGCATCACTGTTCTTGCACTTTTGAGCCATTTTTAAGCAAAATAAGGGTTACTTGAACACAGGCACTGCAATACCACAACAGACAATTTTGTCAACTTAAAGGAAGAAGCTGGGGCTGAATTAATGTAGAGAGTTTATTTGGGCCAAGGTTGAGGACTGCAGCCTCAAGCACACCTCCAGGTTGCCTTGCAGAGTGCTCTGAAGAACAAAGGAGCGGCTTAAGCTTTATTTTGTTTGTCTTTAAAAGAGAAATCACAAGAGGGAACGATTATAAAATTGTTTCTCAGGAATTCTTACTGACTTATAGAAATAGCATTGGCTTGTGATTGGCCGTGTGCTGGTGAACTAGCAGGCCCAGCATTTGATGGCTACTTGGTCTTAGTTAGTCCAGAGCCCGCAGAGCAAGCAGCTTCAAAAGATAATTATTTACTCCAGAGCTAGTGAGTGAATGCTGTTACATTTTAAATGCCTCTGTGAGAGTTTATAACTTAAAGAAGCTCACATTTCTCAGATAAAGAGCTTGTTTTTTCTTTCTCAATCTGATAACCAGGAAGACTACTAAGTGACTAATTGGTGAATAGAGTATACAGCATGGAGACGCTGGACAAAGGGATGTTTCATGTCTCAAGCAGGATACAGAGAGGCGGCAGAGATTTCATCCCCCTATTCAGGATGCTGCACAATTTAAAACTTAAGGGTTATTTATTTTCAGAATTTTTCATTTAATATTAACTGCTGGTAATTGAAACCATGGAAAGCAAAACTGCAGACAAAGGTAGGCTACTATATGTAATTTCATTAAAGAATCTCTGGTGACTTGAAAAGTAAGTTGAAAGACAAATTCTAATAAGAAACACCATATTTGATATCAATCAGTTGATTCATATGATCAAGCTGGGTACATAAAACTTTCACACTCTTTATGAGACAGCCTGGATAAGGGCTGATGAGGAGACAGAAAGACAGAAGTGGCCCCTTCCTTTTTGCTCTTTAGCACTTTACCTGAGCATGTTTATTTCAGCATGTCTCTGGCTCAGAAAAGTATTACTGGGGAGGGGTCATAAAATATTTTAAAAACTATACCATGTAGTTTTTATGTTATCTCAAAGGCAACAAGAAGCTTTGTTTTTTTTTTTTTTTTAGTTGGAGTCTCTCTCTGTTGCCCAGGCTAGAGTATAGTGCTGCCATCTTAGCTCACTGCCACCTCTGTCTCTTGGGTTCAAGCAATTCTCCTGCCTCAGCCTCCTGAGTAGCTGGGATTACATGTGCGTGCCACCACGCCAGGCTAATGTTTGTCTTTTTAGTAGAGATGGGGTTTCACCATGTTGGTCAGTCTGATTTCGAACTCCTGACCTCATGATCAGCCCACCTTGGCCTCTCAAAGTGCTGGGATTACAGGCGTGAGCCACCACGCCTGACTAGCTTTGATAAATTTTAAGGCATATCAGACTTATGATGTAGAAAATTATTCATTAAGATTTCTGTATGAAGAATAGATTAAAGGGGAGAGAAGGAGATAAGAGACAGAGGAAACATGATGGTTATGAAGGTTATTTTGGAGTGCGGTGAGCAGAACCCAATGGGAAGGTAGTGCTCATGTACTTTTTCCATTTGGGACAAGATATATGACTCAGGAGCAGGCAGCAGTTACTGATACGCTGTGATTAGAAGTGTTGAGGTAAAAATTTATTGCATCCATATGGCTTTTACACCTCTTTTCATGGCATGGTGTCAGGTCATATGTTAACTTATTATCTAAAATTATATTTAGTAAGACCTGTGATAGTTTACAAGTTAAGATGAAATGACAATTGCTTACCGAAATTGAATATATACATATCCTATGATCTAGGAAGTCTACCCTTAGGCGTGTACTGAACACAAATGCATACATATGTGTATTAAAAGACTTATACAAGAACACTGGGTGGGGTGGCTCATGCCTGTAATCCCAGCAGTTTGTGAGGCCGAGGTAGGCGATCACCTGAGAATTCGAGACCAGCCCGACCATCATGAAGAAACCCCATCTCTACTAAAAAATACAAAACTAGCCAGGTATGGTGACACATGCCTGTAATCCCAGCTACTTCTAAGGCTGAGGCCAGAGAATCACTTGAACCCAGGAGGCAGAGGTTGTGGTGAGCCGATATCACATCATTGCACTCTAGACTGGGCAAAAAGAGTGAAACTCTGTCTCACAAAAAAAAAAGGACTTATACAAGAATGGTCATAGTGTTATTTGTAATAACCCCAAACTGGAAATAACTCAAATACCCATCAACATGAAATGACAAAGGTGTTATATGCAATAAAATAATGAAGAATATACAATGAAATAAGTCACTAAAAAGTCAACAAAATATTGCTACATATAACAACATGGAAAATAATATTAAGTAGAAAAAGGTAGA